CATTATTTATTTCATAATTTTCACGATATTCGTATCTTTATGACAGATAGACTCATTGCAAATTTTTGAGATTTTTACTTAAGATTGAAAAAAATATTTCAATTAAATAGTTCGATTTTATATTGAATGTCTGGTTTTGGGATTTGTTTTGAAATTATTTAGTATTCTAGCCCAAGAAATTGTTTTCTTTTAGGAACCAATGTAACAGATAAAACATAGGTTTTTAATATCGATATCGATATAAAAAAAAAATGCATTATACAATTGTCCAATTCACAATCGCCATTGTGGCGTTGTATGACATAATTTTTATAAACTTCACCTTCGTGAAAAGGGTATAAATAAGTTTGCCATACCGTTTGTTATTTCTATACCCTATAAATTTAATTTAATTTATTTTCAAAATAAACCTAGCCTAGTAAAATTTGTATATGTATATTCGGAATCCTTATAGCGGAGTCGGTTTAGCTGTCTGTTTGTATGTTAAAATCACTTTTCAAAGACCCCAAATATCTGCGAGATTCGAATCTTAAATAATTATATCTGTCATGCTTTCGAGAAGATTGCTATTTAAAATCAGCAAAACCTGTCCATAAATAAATTTGACTGAAAATTACATAAACAAATTAGCATACAAAAAAAAAAAAAAAAAAAAAAAACAATTACAATAATATATGTTAAATTTTGTTCTTATACATACTTAGTTTTCCTTTTTTATAAAAACTGAACAGAGTAAGAACTACACGTCACGTACGAAGCTGTGTTTGTGGATTTTTTGTACTTTTTCGTTCTTCAAAATACTTACTTTTTTATTTTCTATAATATTAAACCTAGAAACGTAAAATTAAATACGTAGCGTCTTGACTAAATGGAAATCTATTAAAGCGGACTTTCTGAAACTTTTTGTTTTCCAACTGGTGTTTTTTAAAATTTTCTTTAAAAAATACGTATTGAATGTTTTTTAACACACTATGGTAAAGGGTATATAAGATTCTTTAGAGCTGAATATAGAACTTTTACTCTTACGACATACAACTATACAACGCCGATTGTGAATTAGGCAAATTATTTTTTTTACAGCAGGTCTCTAGGAAAGTAAATTAATTATTTTATCGGAATAATTCGAAGTTATAAAATAGCACTTTCATCTGCTGCACTTTGGTCGTCTTTACATTGTTGACATAATATCTATTCTAAACCATTCTAAACATTTCTTTTATTTTGTAAATATTCGAGAGGTATGAGAATCATATACAATTTTTTATTCTATTAAACCATATTAGCAACTTAAAATGGAATTCAATTTAAATTTATAATAAAAACATTGGAAACTTACACAAACTTCATTTGTCTTGTTATGCTGCACGTTGCCTGTCCAATATCCTTAAGACAACCAACTTAATCTAAAACATTTCAACTTACCCGTATAGCTAGCCAAGTTACCATTATTTAAATCCCAAGCATTCTGAAATTAAAAAAGAAAACTAATTATTATTTAAATTTTTAAATCACAAATTAAAAAAAACTTACCGCCTCAACATTTATATCCAAAGGAGTCATAGTAACACCAGCATGATTTTGCATTTGATTGCGTATTGTCTCATAGCGCAGTCTTGACTCTTCCGATGTAGACAAATTAAACTTTCGGCCATTATCGTATTGTTCAGTAGAACGTCCGCTATCTGGTTCCTCATGTATAACATCCCAACGTTGTGATGATACAATGGAAGCATTAGGGGCTCTAGATGATGACGAGGATGTTGTATGAAATGGATTATAAGTGGAAGAATTTGTGGGTGTTGAAGTGTTAGAAGATGAACTATTATTGCTATGCGTTAATTCTGTACTAAACAGAGTACTGAAGTTGCTAAAATCTGAAATATAATTATCGCCTGTAGACTCATTGTCATTCGGACTGATGATCTAAAAAGAAAAAAGAAATGTTAAAATTTTATTTATTTTTTTGTAAATATATAAATACCTGTTGATTAACGAACTCATAATTTAAGGGTTCATCTGCTCCCGGAAATGCTTGCATTAACATATTCATTACTTCTACCACATGCTGCATAGAGGGTCGTAAGTCTGGTTTATCAGCCCAACAAGAAGTCATTAGATGTCTTATTGGCTCTGGCAAATCGGGTATGGGAGGCGGTCGTTCACCTTTATGTATTTTCCACATTATGGAATAGGTATTGTCGACATCCTTAAAGGGTTTCTCACGCGACAACACCTCCCACAAGACAATGCCCCAACTGAATATATCACATTTTTCGGTGTATTTAGAACCTTCAAAAACTTCTGGTGCCATCCATGCAGCCGAACCTTTATTATTGGTCATTAGCGTAGATTTGTCAGCGACTGTACCAAAATCACATATTTTTAAATATCTTCCCTTATCGGTGAGTAAAAGATTGAGCGGTTTTAAATCACGATGTATTAGCGGCTTTGGTTTCATGGCATGTAAATAGGCAACACCCTAAAAGGTAGAGAATATGGGATTTTAATTTTTTTATGTTAAGATTTTTAGATAGATAGATAGATAGATAGATAGATATAGATAGATAGATAGATAGATAGATCGATCCTGATAGATAATAGATCGCTCTAGCTCGCTCGCTCGCTCGCTCGCTGTCGCTAGCTCGATCGCTAGCTCGCTCGCTCGCTCGCTCGCTCGATCGCTCTCGCTCGCTAGCTCGCTCGCTCGCTGCTCGCTCGTGCTCGCTCGCTCGCTCTCGCTCGCTCGCTCTCTCGCTCGCTCGCTCGCTCGCTCGCTCGCTCGCTGCTCGCTCGCTCGCTCGCCGCTCGCTCGCTCGCTCGCTCGCTCGCTCTCGCTCGCTCGCTCGCTCGCTCGCTCGCTCGCTCGGTCGCTCGCTCGCTCGCTCGCTCGCTCGCTCGCTCGCTCGCTCGCTCGCTCGCTCGGGTCCTCGGTCGCTCGCTCGCTCGCTCGCTCGCTCGCTCGCTCGATCGCTCGCTCGCTCGCTCGCTAGTCTCGCTCGCTCGTCTCGCTCGCTCGCTCGCTCGCTCGCTCGCTGATCGCTCGCTCGCTCGCTGCTCGCTCGCTCCTCTCTCGCTCGCTCGCTCGCTTCGCTCTGCTAGTGCTCGCTCGCTCTCTCGTTGGTATCGCTGATGAGGCTGCTATATTGGGTAGCTGTGGGTAACAGAAGCCCATGTATCTTTTGCCCATTATTTAACAAATGCGAACCTTCTCTTGGAAATGAGCATATTAACAAGAGGAACACCGAACTGGTAGAGATTAATAAATTAGTTAGTTAGTTTGAAAGGAGGATGTATATACATCAAATCCGAAGAAATACACCTAGGCCTCTATCGGGCCTGTTGTGCGCTCCTTAACCAGTGCCTCAGGTGGGAATCGAACCCACCACCTCCGGTCTACCAGTCTAGAACATTAACCACTAACCTACCGGAGGCCACCATTATTAAATTAAATGTTAGACTTTAATGTTTTTTCAAAAACTTTAAAGTAATTTCACAACACGTTTATATCACTAAAGTCTATAATACTTTATGGTTCCAATTTAGAATTTTGATTATAAAAAAGTCGTTAAATGTGCAAATAATAATCTGTCTCCAAACGGGTATGTTCTTCTCTTAATTTCACCTAAACAAATTTTCAAATTTTTTTACATACATCATCAATAAGTTTTTGGGAAATTATAGTGAATAATATTTAAGTAACTTAAAATATGGTAAATGTTTCAGTTCGCAAAATTATCTCTTAATAATAAAATAAAGAAACAAAATACTTCACTCACCTCTGCACACTGGCGTGCCCAACTCATGGCATGGGCCGTCGAATAAGCCGGTTTTACTTTACCATGTAAAAACTGATGCAATGAACCGCCTTCGGCATATTCCATAATCAAATATTTTGACATTTGATTGGCGGCTATACCATACAAAGCGATAATATTGGGATGATTTACCCTAGACAGCTGCTTTACTTCTGTTTCAATGGCTTTTTGTTCGGAGGTAGGTTCAAATTCCTTAACGGCAACATAACGATCACGCCAAACCGCCTTATAGACTACACCAAAAGTACCATGACCAACTTTCTGCAAAGTGGGAAAAGTTATACAAAAGACTAGAATAAACGTTTTCTATTATATAACAAATAATACAAACCTCTTTGAAAGAAATTTCCGAAAAATCCACATATTGACATAAAAGACTTAAGCCGTCACTGGTCTGTATGTTAATATTATTGATGGATGGTAAAGAGGGAGCTAAACTGGCAGCACCCTCTTCGGTAGCTTGTGCAGACGTTTCATTGTTGATAGAAGGGGATGTACTAGCAGAATTTGTGGTGGCATCTTGTAAATCCCCCAACTCATCGGTCATGTTGAGGTAGTATCAAACAGTTGACAATAGAAATGGGAAAATGCTGCAGGATTTTACGTGCAAATTGTGGGTTTTTTTAGAACTTTTTTGTTTTATTTTTATAAAAAATACTTTTATATCTTTGTTTTCTTTTTACTGCGTTTTCTTTTTTTGACCAAGTTTGTAGCTTTTTTTTCTATAAGGTTTAATAATTATGCTGCCTTTTTTGTGGATGATTTCTTATTATTTTATTACATAATTATGTTTATTTATTTATAAATTTTATTATTGATTTTTTTGTTTTTATTGTTTTCTTTATATTGTTGAAAATTTTCTTAGGAATTTCATAAATTTCTTTTTTGGAAAAAAACTTTTTTCACTGATAAAGGAAAAACTGAAGAGGCAGTCTGTTTTTTTTTTTTGCAATATGTCAACTGTCAAAAACAGCTGGGAGGGTAAGAAGAAACATACACACAAACATATGTTTAAAAGGGCCGTTTTTACACAGTTGTTGTGTTATTATGCTAAGGGTTGATGACTTTGCTAAAAGGTTGATTTTAAATCTGTTACATTTTCATTTTGTTAAAAAAATACAATTTAATTATTAAAAAATACTTTTTTTTATTGAAAATTTAAATTAAATTTTCACGAAAACTATATATTTTATATAACAGTGTATTGATTTATTTGGTAGGTTTAAAATATTAAAAATAAAAATATCTGAAGGATTTTAACAAGCGGATATTTGCATTATTTAGTTCAAAATTAATAAATTTTTAGTTATGGTCCTTAAGTAATTTAAATTGTAATTGAAAGAATCTGAAGTAAAACCATCGCCTGTGGATTCAGGCGATAATCTGTAGAAAAATAACATTTATACATATTTTTGTATAAATACCTGTTGATTAATTAACTAATAATGTAGGGGTTCATCGCCTCCCGGAAATTCTAGCATTAGGATTTCCATTCTCTCAACTACGTATTCCATAGAGGGTCTTAATTCCGGTTTCTTATCCCAACAAGATTTTATTAATTGTTCTATAGATTCTGGTAGATTATCTATTGGAGGTGGTCGTTCTCCTTTATTTATTTTCCACAGTATGCCATATGGATTACTGGTATCTTTAAAGGGTTCTTCTCGAGCTATCATCTCCCACAACACAGTGCCCCAACTGTATACATCACATTTTTTTGTATACCTGGAACTCTCGAAAATTTCTGGTGCCATCCAGCCAGCAGAACCTCTTTTATTCGTCATTATGGTTACAAGATCGTTACTTGTACCAAAACCACTTATTTTCAGACATCTTCCCTTATCGGTGAGCAGAAGATTGAGGGGTTTCAAATCACGATGTACTAGAGGTTTAGGTTTCATGGCATGCATATAGGCAACGGCCTAGAAGTAAGAAAATATATATTTTTTGATATTTTTACTTGATTATATTTTTACTTTACCTCTGCGCACTGACGTGCCCAACTCAGGGCATGGGCCATCGAATAGTAAGGCTTTTCATTGCCATGCAAAAACTGATGTAATGAACCACCTTCGGCATATTCCATGATCATATAATTTGACTTTTCATTGCTGGATATGCCATAAAAAGCAATAATATTGGGATGTTTTACTCTGGAAAATTGTTTTATTTGTATTTCGAAGGCATTTATTTTAGAGTTGCAATTAAATTTCTTCACGGCCACATAACGATCACGCCAACTGGCCTTGTGCACCACACCGAAAGTACCACGTCCAACTTCCTATAAAGGCAGGAGTATTAAGTTAACAAACTTGACTTGAAAATTGAATAAAATGAAAGAAACCTCTTGCAAATAAATATCCAAAAAATCTATATATGGACATAGAATATTTAAACCATCACTGGTTTCAATAGCAATGTTAATAACGGGCGGCAAAGACGGATCCGACCAGGCACCAGCCTCTACAGATGGTGAAGTCTCAGTGACCTCTTTACCACTGTTAAATGGCGAAGACAATGTTGATATTTGGAAATTTCTAGGAACCATTGAAACATTAAGTCTAGATGATGGTGCATTAAGAAATGTATTGTCATTAGAAGAATCTAAAGAATCTTCGCCTATAGACCCATCATCACAGACAAACTCATGATTAATAAAATCATAATTTAAGGGTTTATTTGCTCCTGGAAATTCTTGTATTAATATATTCAATTTCTCTACCACGTATTGCATAGATGGTCTTAATTCTGGTGTTTTAGACCAACAAGAATACATTAGTTGTTTAATGGGTTCTGGTAGATCGGGTATTGGAGATGGTCGTTCTCCTTCATGTATTTTCCACAATATGCAATATGCATTATCGAAATCTTTAAATGGTTTTTCCCGAGCTATTATCTCCCACAACACAATGCTCCAACTGTATACATCACATTTTTCTGTATACTTTGAACCCTCAAAAACTTCTGGTGCCATCCAGGCAGCAGAACCACTATTATTGGTCATAAGGGATTCGAGATCGGTAACTGTACCAAAATCACAAATTTTCAGATATCTTCCTTTATCGGCAAGCAAAAGATTGAGCGGTTTCAAATCACGATGCACTAGTGGCTTAGGTTTCATGGCGTGCATGTAGGCAAGGGCCTAGAAGGAAGAAATTTTAAATTTTCATAAGGTCTAATTAAAGTAATTTCATTACTACTTACTTCTGCGCATTGGCGTGCCCAACCTATGGCATGAGCCATCGAATAATTCGGCTTTTTATTACCATGCAAAAATTGATGCAACGAACCACCTTCGGCATATTCCATGATCATATAATTGGTCTTCTCATTACTGGATATGCCATACAAAGCAATAATATTGGGATGCTTTACCCTAGACAATTGTTTTATCTCTCTTTCAATGATCTTTTTCTCAGTATTGCGATCAAATTCCTTAACAGCCACATTTTTATCACGTAAAACTGCCTTGTAGACCACACCAAAAGTACCACGTCCAATTTTCTGCAAAGACAAGAGTTTTTAGTTAATTACAAATAAATTGGTTTTATAATATAAATAAAATAAACCTTTTTATTAGAAATTTCCCAAAAATCTATATATGGACATCGAATATTTAAGCCATCATCTGTGTCGAAATTAATGTTAATTGTAGGCGACATAGAACGATCAGTCTTAGCACCATTATCTTCTGATGTCGTAGTTGCATTATTATTAGCAGAACTTGTGGAGGCCATTTGTAAATTCATTAGCAAAAACAATAATTGTAAATTATATTGGATTGATAATATTTATATTTAACCTAGGAACTAGTTCTAGAACGAATGGAAATCGTTTGTAATTTGTTCAACTTTTTTATATTTGTTCTTATTTTATTTTTATACATTTATTACCGCTTAATCATAAACTATATTTAGTCCAACTTGATTTTTTTTTAAATAATAAGTATTTTAATAAAAGTTCAGCATTTTTGTTACTATTTATAATTATATTATTATTATAATTATTTTATTATTATTAACATTTTAAATTTATTATTTTTTCATATTTAACTTTGTTTTATATTATTATATTTGTTACTGTTGATTCATAAACTGTTCTTGGTTAATCTTTAAAATATTTTATTGATTGTTTAATAAATATTTATTATTAGTTTTATTGTATTATGATTTAAACTTAAATTTTTTATTTGTTGTCCTTTATATTGTTGATTTCTTTTAAATTTTTCCAATATGAAATTGCTTTGTTTTTAAGGAGTTTCTCTTAACGTTTATTTTTATATATTTTTTGCTATATGTCATCTGTCAAACAGTGTACAAAGAGAAGATCGGATATACATTTATAAATCTGTCACTTATACAACTTACTTGTCAAGGGCGTTTCTACATACTACTCAAATTAAAATTTCTATGCATTTAATTAAAATTTTCCTTGATACCACGCTCGCTTATAAAGAGGTAGTTGAGTAAGTAGTTTTTTTAATAATTAATTAAATTATGTTTTCTTTTTGTTTAAAATAAGCGATCATATAAACTAGCAAAGCTGAAAGTTAGAACTCCTATATCAGATTAAAAAGTATGTCATCACTATACTCCTTATAAGTAATGCAGACGTGTGTAGTTGTCATTAAAAGCTAATTTCCTTAACAGCTGCAATTTAGCTTTTAATGACAACTACTATATTAAATACTACAGTTTAGACTATAGACTAGACTATACACTAGACTATAGACTAGACTATAGACTATACTATAGACTAGACTATAGACTAGACTATAGACTATAGACTAGACTATAGACTAGACTATAGACTAGACTATAGACTAGACTATAGACTAGACTATAGACTAGACTATAGACTAGACTATAGACTAGACTATAGACTAGACTATAGACTAGACTATAGACTAGACTATAGACTAGACTATAGACTAGACTATAGACTAGACTATAGACTAGACTATAGACTAGACTATAGACTAGACTATAGACTAGACTATAGACTAGACTATAGACTAGACTATAGACTAGACTATAGACTAGACTATAGACTAGACTATAGACTAGACTATAGACTAGACTATAGACTAGACTATAGACTAGACTATAGACTAGACTATAGACTAGACTATAGACTAGACTATAGACTAGACTATAGACTAGACTATAGACTAGACTATAGACTAGACTATAGACTAGACTATAGACTAGACTATAGACTAGACTATAGACTAGACTATAGACTAGACTATAGACTAGACTATAGACTAGACTATAGACTAGACTATACTGACTTAGACTAGACTATAGACTAGACTATAGACTAGACTATAGACTAGACTATAGACTAGACTATAGACTAGACTATAGACTAGACTATAGACTAGACTATAGACTAGACTATAGACTAGACTAGACTATAGACTAGACTATAGACTAGACTATAGACTAGACTATAGACTAGACTATAGACTAGACTATAGACTAGACTATAGACTAGACTATAGACTAGACTATAGACTAGACTATAGACTAGACTATAGACTAGACTATGACTAGACTATAGACTAGACTATAGACTAACTAGACTAGACTATAGACTAGACTATAGACTAGACTATAGACTAGACTATAGACTAGACTATAGACTAGACTATAGACTAGACTATAGACTAGACTATAGACTAGACTATAGACTAGACTATAGACTAGACTATAGACTAGACTATAGACTAGACTATAGACTAGACTATAGACTAGACTATAGACTAGACTATAGACTAGACTATAGACTAGACTATAGACTAGACTATAGACTAGACTATAGACTAGACTAGACTATAGACTAGACTATAGACTAGACTATAGACTAGACTATAGACTACACTATAGACTAGACTATAGACTAGACTATAGACTAGACTTTAGACTAGACTATAGACTAGACTATAGACTAGACTATAGACTACACTATAGACTAGACTATAGACTACACTATAGACTAGACTATAGACTAGACTATAGACTAGACTATAGCCTAGACTATAGACTATAGACTAGACTATAGACTAGACTATAGACTAGACTATAGACTAGACTATAGACTAGACTATAGACTAGACTATAGACTAGACTATAGACTAGACTATAGACTAGACTATAGACTAGACTATAGACTAGACTATAGACTAGACTATAGACTAGACTATAGACTATAGACTAGACTATAGACTAGAATATAGACTAGACTATAGACTAGAATATAGACTAGACTATAGACTAGACTATAGACTAGACTATAGACTAGAATATTGACTAGACTATAGACTAGAATATAGACTAGACCAAAGAACTGAAGAACTATAGACTAGACTAGACTATAGCCTATATACGGGTCTATTGACTACTATATGGATTACTAAGCAAAATTTAATAAATTCCAAAATGTATTGAAAATGTCGTGAGGGTACTGCGTATTTTTCGATATCAAAAAAGTACTAAAGTACTGAATTTTCTATCCAAAAACTACTGCCTTGCTAAAATTATCCATAAATTCGAATCAGAGATGACTCTAGTAAAATATTTTTTATATCTAAACAGGATTCTCTAGATTTGTTTATATTTATTAGTTATTATTTTTCAGATTTTTGAAAGTCTAATGATATTCTTAAGACTTTTCAAAATAAAAGAGATAATGAACTTTTTGAGGGACTTAAATATATTCATTTAAAAATTTAATTTTTTTTTCGTTTTCAGCCTTAACGTTATTATCAGATATTATCACCCAACTATCACTAGAATCAGTACTACTTTGATTTGCATATGTTTCACATTTAGGTTGGGTACTTTTCAAATAATTATAAAGCTCCAACAATCTTTCCTAAAATTAAGAAAAATATTAATTTTAAATTATTATTACTTTTAAGATTTTTTACTTTTTCCCTCAATTTCTGCAATAATTCCTCCATTTCTTTTTTCTCTTCAGGCGACATTTTTAGCTTTTCCGTTTTGCAGTATTTTTCGGCAAAATATAATTTCGTTTCTAGTATTAAATATTCTTCGGCTAAACGTCTATGTTCCTCATAGATTTCTTGCGACTCCTGATTATCTCGTATGGGTAATTCGGGTTGTAAAGCTGGTTCCAACATTTCATGCCAAGATAGTATATAGTTTTCGTTATCTTCGGAATCAGTATCATTGTTGTTTAGCTTAAAATTGGGGATTTCTATTTGCGTTTATAATTTAAATTTATATTACTTTGAACTTTACTAAATATAAAAGATTTTAGTTTACCATTAATTGCAGCTGAACTACCATCCGTAAGATCGCCAGGATCCTGAAATTATAAAAACAATTTATTTAAAGTTTTAAAATATTATACTAATTAACTTCTTCATTGGAGAAATTGAATTCAAAGTCTTTATAGTTTTTTTGAGTAGTTGGACCATAATCAACTTTTTCGTGTTCATCATCGAAAGGAGAAACCAGTGAAGCATTAGATCTGGTTAAGGGTGAATTCATAAAGGGATTATAATTGGAAGAATCTAAAGAATTATCTTCGTCTATTGACTCATTGTCACTGATAATCTATAGAAAAATGATATACATATGCAAGTTTGATTTCTTCTGGTTTATATACATAAATACCTGCTGATTACTAAAGTCATAATTTAAGGGTTCATCTGCTCCCGGATATGCTTGCATCAATATATTCATTTTATCTACCACATATTGCATAGAGGGTCTTAATTCGGGTGCCTTAGCCCAACAAGAATTCATTAGTTGTTTTATGGGTTCTGGTAGCTCGGGTATTGGAGGTGGTCTTTCTCCTTTGTGTATTTTCCATAAAATACAAAATGCATTATCGAAATTTTTAAAGGGCTTTTCTCGCGCTATCACTTCCCACAACACAATGCCCCAACTGAATACATCACATTTTTCAGTATACTTTGAACCCTCAAAAACTTCTGGTGCCATCCAGGCAGCAGAACCACTATTATTTGTCATGATTGTCACGAGATCGGTAACTGTACCAAAATCACATATTTTCAGATATCTTCCCTTATCGGCAAGCAAAAGATTGAGCGGTTTCAAATCTCGATGTACTAGAGGTTTCGGTTTCATGGCATGCATGTAGGCTACAGCCTGGAAGGATGAAATTTTAAAATTTTCTTAAAGTCTAGTTAAAGTCATTTCATTCCTATTTACCTCTGCGCATTGACGTGCCCAACTCATTGCATGGGCCATCGAATAGTACGGCTTTACATTACCATGCAGAAAATGATGTAATGAACCACCTTCGGCATATTCCATGATTATATAATTTGACTTTCGATTGGTGGATATGCCAAACAAAGCAATAATATTAGGATGCTTCACCCTTGACAGTTGTTTTATCTCTCTTACTATGGGCTTTTCCTCACTTTTGTGATCAAATTCCTTAACGGCTACATAAAAATCACGCCAAATTGCCTTATAGACCACACCGAAAGTACCACATCCAACTTTCTACAAAGACAAGAATTTAATGTCAATTACAAACAAGTAAGAATGTGAAGTCGGTCATGGCCGACCATATGATACCCTACACCAGTGAGAATATTAAAAATGTGTATTATTTTTCTAATAATAAAGCATTTTTTCTTAATTGCGAAATATTACAACAATTTGTTACCAAAAAAAGGTGATTTTCTGAAAGAGTTGTTATATGGAGCAAAGGTAAATATGGCCCTATCCGTATAAATTTTGGTAGAGAGATTTACGATGACTAGTAGAAACTGTAGAGATTGTACAATATTTAACATTATTATAAGCTCAAAAGCCCTATTCGGGGGTATGGTTGTAGGGGGCCTCAGCGAACTAATGAACTGATTTCAACCATTTTCAATAGACTTCGCTCTTGTCAAAAGAAGAGTATGTGTCAAATTTCATCAAATTATCTTGAAAATTGTGACCTGTAGCGTGCGCACAAGGTTTACATTTACAGACGGACGGACATATTTTAATAGAAAGTGATTCTGAGCCTATTAAGGTGTAGGACCAATATTTTTGGGTGTTACAAACATCAGCTGAAACGCATAATACCCTCCCCACTATAGTGGTGTAGGGTATAACAAATTTATCTTATTTTTTATTAAACAAAAGCAACCTCTTGTAAGGAAATTTCCCAAAAATCAATATAAGGACATAAAATATTTGAGCCATCACTGGTTTCGAATTTTATGTTAATTGTAGGCGGCATAGGAGGATCAATTCTGGCACCAGCTTCTTCTGATGCAGTAGTCGAATTATTATAAGCAGAACTTATAGAGGCCATTTGTAAATCCTAGAAGCCACTAAGAATAACGAAATTGTTGGACTTAATTCCAAATTATTTTATATTTCTGTAATGTTTGCTAATTCTTTCTACGTTTTATATGTTTTCTTGATTTATTTTTATAAATTTGTTTTTGCTTAATCATAAGCTATTATTGATCTAGTTTTTTCTATTGTTTAATACACAATTTGTGTCGTATTGTTTATTATTTTCTTAAATAGTTATTTACGTTGAGTTGTTTATAATTGATAAACATATTTATTTTTAATTGTTTTGTTTTAATTGTATTATTGATTTTTTCACGGAGTTTTTATTTTTTAACGCAATGATCGTTGCTTCGCCGATGAGAACAAACTAACGTCTATTTTTGCACTTTTGTTTGCCATATGTATACTGTCAAAGAATTGACAAGTGCAGAAGATCGGGCATACACTCTAATATCTGGTGATGGTAGGCCGTTTTTACATACTTCTCAGGTGCAGTGATTAAGGTTAATGTCTTTGCTAAATCGTTCTATTTGTGGTTACGAGCGAATTCATACTTGTATATTCGCTGTATTTCCTGTTTTGAACGGAAACAAATACTTTTACACTTAAAGCGCCTTTCAAAGACCATTCATATGATACCAAATTTCCTTTATCTTTGGAAAAAATCATAAAAATCGCAAAAAGGACCTTTTATTCTTTGACCCAGTTCACCAATTATTAGGGCCGGGGTAAGAATTTTGTGAAATGCTATCTTATAATTAACTAAATTTGTTTTTAGGGTGTCCCCGTCTTACATTCTGGGTCCCCACTAATGTACATATATACAATTTCCTTTATATTCTATCAATTATTTTAAAATTTCTATTTAGCATGTCATTATACCTAAAAGTAAAATAGATTTTCATAAAAATTTGTATCAAAAAGAAATATTATAAGTAAATGTATGTATGACAAGAGTTAAGTATAAAGGGTTAAAGATAAAATATACTCTCTAACCCGTCTACTTAAATTAAACAAAAATATCCTTTTATCTTTTATACGCACATGTAAAGATATTCATATGGAATACTGTAGTTTTAGTGTGTGTGTGTAGGTGTGTGTTTTGGTAAATATTTTCCTTTTAACAGAGATGGACGACTTTAAATGCAAATAATACAATGAACTACAACAACAAAAAGAGTAATAACTGTAATAGTGAGCAAAAACAAGGACCCACATTAAAATTAAAACAAAGTTGTTGGAGTTTTTTGTTTTGTTTTTTTTTTTGAAAATAAAACATATGGGTGACCTCTCAGACCTTTTTAGCATAAATGTGTGGGTATGCATACATATTTACTTACATACAATATCTATGCATGTGAATTTCTATACATACATATTATGTATTTGAATACATTTCTTACATATGTATGTATATAGAAAGATTTCATGTATGTAAATAATGACATGTAAGTTGAAATAAAAAAAATTAGAAATGCGACCCACAAAAATAAATCTAAACTTTAAAATATTTTATTTATACTTATACTTACAGTCAGGGAGAAAACAAAGAAAACTTTACTTTACCTATTAAATAATTTATAATATTTTACTTTACAATATGTATGTACATATGTCTACATATGTATGTATATAATGATTACTAAAATAAATTGAAACTTTATACTCTGTTTTGTCATACACTGTATATAAGAAGTCAGTGCACACTAAACCCTGTAGTCTTTAGAGGTACAACTTCCATTACCATCAGAATAACTAGCGTATATTGGTATAGAAGAAGAAAATAAAATATTTAAATTCGGTAAAAGATTTTACCTAGTCCCCATACGAAGAACTTCCCGAAATCAGTTTAACAGTCGTAAATAAACTAAAATTTGTGGTCCACTTTAGTGTAATAGTCTATAAACTAGACAATTGATTAGACTATTGACTAAGAAGTTGATAAGTCTGTTGAGCAATCTAATGACTAGTCTGCTGAACATTCTATAGAATAGTCTATTGACTGGTCTATGTGATAGTGATCAATCTACTGACTAGCCAATGGACTGTGTAGTCTACTGACTAGTCTGTTAACTAGTCTATTGACTAGTCTACTGACTGGTTTATTGACTAGTCTACTGACTAGTCTATTGACTAGTCTATTGACTAGTCTATTGACTAGTCTATTGACTAGTCTATTGAATAGTCTATTCACTGGTCTATGTGATAGTGATCAGCCTATTAATTAGCCAATTTACTATGTAGTCTACTGACTAGTCTGTTAACTAGTCTATTGACTTGTCTGTTAACTAGTCTATTGACTAGTCTGTTAACTAGTCTACTGACTAGTCTGTTGACTAGTTTATTGACTAGTGTGTTGACTAGTCTATTGACTAATATATTGCCTAGTCTGTTAATTAGTCTACTGACTAGTCTGTTAACTAGTCTATTGACTAGTATATTGACTAGTGTGTTGTCCAGTCTACTGTGATAGTGATCAGTTTACTGACTAGTCTATTGACTAGACTGTTGACTAGACTGTTGGCTAATCTATTGACAAGACTGTCAACTAGTCCGTTTAGTAGTCTATGTTATAGTGATAAAATTTTGAAATATAAGGATCATAATAGGTCCTCTTCAAAAAATGTAATTGACATTAAAATAACAGTACGGCTCATAAACGAGATATATAAGAAATCTTTCAACTAAATTTTATGATCGGACCCATAAATAATCCTATATTCTTTATTACTTCTCTTAAACATAAGATAAGATAAAATGCGACAGAAATGATTTATTTAAAGAAACTGATTACACTTTTTAAAAGTCTATAGAGTTCGTTCTATAATTGAAGCAAGACCGGCCCACTCTTATTAGAGATACAATTTAGCATAAATATATATCGTGGTAATAAATTCCGATGTTATCTGAAGGGCCTTCCGCAAATATCATTAAATTTACGAAACATGTTTTGATGGAGAGTTATATACATTGTTCCTTCTCTATCCGAGAAAAACGAACCTTAATGTTTCTCTCAAAAAATCAATTTTTGATGAAAAAAAGTTACAAACGTTCGTCGTATGACAAAAATTAATTAAGTCTTTCAAAAGGTCTACGTTTCGAAAAAGTAGTATAAGTACTTGGCATTAGTTTAAAACTGTTGGGTACTTAACTATTATATAATGTATGGGTGGATTCAGGGATTGATGGTTGGTTGACTGACAACATGAACGGATGAATAGATTATATTTTTACTTAAGCAAAACATGGTCATTTGCAAAAGCTCTTCTCTGCTACTTTAGTTGAATCTAAAAAGTTTTATTTAAAATATTAATAAAATAAAAATATGTAAAGAGTATATCAATATAAATAAATAATAAATTTAAGGTTAATTTTACAAAACTGTTCGCTTGAAAGACTATGTATATTGATTTCTGAGTTAGGACTAGTTCCATGACCGACGCTTTGGGAATAGAAAATGGTTTTACTTATCAAATTCCTTTTTAATTATTTATATTACACAAAGCTTTAACTAAACTAAATACATTCTCAAATTTCTGACAGGTTTACAACATGTGTGTTTTATAATGATTTTCTACGAGGGAAATATTTTATTTATTTCCGTCTGTCCATTCATCTTTTACTACATTTACATTAAAAAATATTACAAACGAACATATATACATACATATCCTACCATTACAGAAGATCTAGGATTCATATTATAAATAAAATTCTTTATTTGCGTGCCCACATGCATAATGTATCAAACAGGAATAACATCAATGGCTGAGTAGAAGAACAAATAATCATACATTCAGTTTCCAGCTTTTATTTTTTAATGCTTTGGGTTTTAAAACAAAGAAAAGAAATATTTTTTTTTTTGCTTTACATATTCATGTATATCCTGCTCATCCTGTGCTACTGCTTTTTAGTTTATTTTTAACAAGAATTATCCTTTAACTGCAGCTTTACGACTGCTGCATTTTGTTTTGTATCCCAAATAAAAATCCATCTTTTTTTAGAGGGGATTCCACTGATTCTCATGCTTTGCAGTTGTTTTAACAGTTATCTTTGTTTTTGTAGCTCTGTTAGCTAAAAAGGAAAAACAAAGAAAAAAAAAATTGAGATATTTAATGTATTTCTACTCTGTTTAATGTGTTGCCAGCAGAGCTGGTAATGAGTAATATTTTGGATAATTATGTCTTCCGAAAATAACTTTTCCACATCTATACCAGAAATATTTTTATCTATTTAATAACTACTTTGGTTGTTTAATAAAAAGTCTGATAAACAGACTATACAAGGGACTAGTCAAGACAATAGTCTCGAGACTACTGTTTTGACTAGTCCAAAGATTAGGAAACAGGCTAACCAATTGGCCGGTCCATTTATTAGTCCACAGACTGCTTCATATACTAGTAAATAGTCCATACCATAGACTGGTCATTAGAGTGGACCACATATAAGTGTACTGACTAGTCAACTCTTCAATAGACTAGTCAATAGAATTGTCTACAGATTAGTCAAACAATCCATAGTTTAGTGAATTGACAAATCAATAGATTAGTGTATAGATCATAGACTTGTCAATACCCTTCAATAAATTGGTCAATACTCCAGACTAGTCAATAAACTATTCAATGGGCTAGTCCATATTCTTATCAAGAGACTAGTCTCTAGTCCATTTACTAGATAATGGAATGGTCCATAGACTATTCGATAGATTAGCCCACTGGCTAGTCAATAGACTAGACTAGTTAATAGATTGGATAACAGACAAATAGATCAGTTTCTAGACCATAGACTTGTGGTTAGATTAGTCTCTATAGATTAGTCAAGAGACTAGCCAATAATATAGTCAAGAGATTCTCTATAAACTAGTCCATATGCTAGTTAATAGGTCAGGCAATATGCTAGTCAAGAGACTAATCAACACATAGACTAAATAATGATCTAGACAAGAGACTCGTTTTTATTACATTGACTAGTCAGTAGCAGTTATTATACTTATCAAAAGATTAGTCAACCGACTAGTCAATTTAATTAATTAATTCTCTTTCTATAAAAAATTACTCTTTTAATTCTCACCTTGCTGCGTTGTTGTTATTTACTTAGCTTTCAGTTTTTCTTGTTCTCATTTAGTCTTATATGTCAGCTGCTTCAGCAGCAGCATTAGCAGCTGAAAAAAGGATATTTTCTGAAGGATATAAATGCATTTACATTATAACAAAATGTATTTTATTTGTAAACTTAATGTGTGTGAGTGTGATTGTTTCTAAAGTAAAACTGTAAGTATGTTATACAAATTCATTTTCTGCTTCTTTTTTTTTTTTTATTTTGCTCGCAATAAGTTTTTCCTGTCCTCGTGCT